CAGAAGCGCGTGAACACCTCCTTCATGTTGCCACCCTTCTGCATGGAGATGACCCGGAGGTGGTCCTCCTCGTTGATCCACACCAGGAAGGTCTTGTTGTCATTGTGCCTGGAGGAGAGGCCCCGTCAGGGCGAGCCCCCCACTCCACCGGGGAAGGGGCTGCCTCGAGACCCCAGCCCCATCAACACTGCGGGAAACAGGGAGACCAGAGGGTGGGGGGCAGGGGCAGCACTCATCCCCCACCCAGGGGAAGCGCTGCTCCCTGAGCGCCGAGGCCCCCGGCGGCGGCTCCGCCCTCACTGGCAGGAAGCTCCTGCGTCACCCAGCACCTGCCAGAATCCCGAGGGGAACGGGAGCCAGGCGAGGGAGGTAGGGAAAACAAGACAACAAGGAGCCAGGGCCCTCGTCTGCGCCCCACGGAGGCTGAGGCTTCCGTCCACCCTGCGCGGCCAAGGTCACCTGCGCAGGACCGAGGCAGTACCAAACCGGGCGCACCCGGCCCCTCCCTCGGCCTCCTCGGCCACTGTGCGCCCCACTCCCGAGGGGAGCGGGGTGGCGAGCAGCGCAGGGGGCCACGCGCTCACCAAATACCGCGGGCGTCCGGCCAGTCGCGGGCCATGCCGGAGGCCAGCAGCAGGGGCGACACGGGCTTGTCGAAGAGGAAGTGGTCGTCGATGAGCTGCTGCTGCTCCGCCTCGGTCATGCTCTTGAGCGCGTAGTACCTGCCGGCCAGGTCGCCGTCCAGGCTGGACAGCGCTGCGGACAACAGCGGCGCACTGCTGAGCCCGCCCCGTCTGGGTGCCCGGCAGGGCCTCAGGGCCTCGGCCCCTCCGGACACGGGCAGGCGCAGACAAGGGCGCGGCGGCGGCTCGGGTGGCTGGTTAATAAGCGGGGAGGGGTGGTGCGGCTGACCCCCGCCCCTGGCGCCTACCTTCCACCGCCAGCTTCTCGACGGCGCGGCGCTCGCCGCGGCTGCAGTGCGGGGGCAGGCAGAAGCCCCGGATGCTGCGGCCAGTGCGCACCCGCGAGCTCAGCACGTAGTTAGGGTCCAGGTCGTCGCCGCCCTGGGTGCGGGGGCCAGGAGTGAGCGCCGGGATGCCTCCCCGCCCGCCGCCCGCCGCCCGCCGCCCGCGCGCGCACCTGCAGGTTGTCGGGGTTGAGGTCGGTCTTGTGCTCGTCGCTGGGCTTGTAGCCGCCGTGCCGGTCCTCGATGATGGGGTCGAAGAGCTCCTTGAACACCTCGTAGGACTCCTCGTCGCCCGCCACGCAGCCCACGGTCATGATGAACGGGTGGCCTGGGGGCGGGAGGAAGGCAGAGACGTCACCGCCAGGCCCGCGCGCGCCGCCGCCGCCGCCGGGGACCCCGGCCCGGGGATGCGCGTACCCGGGTTGTCGACGCCGGTCTGGATGACGTCGTCCAGCGTGAAGCCGCTGGGCGTGCTCTTGGCGCGCAGCTCGGCGTACATCTCGGGGGTCAGCACTTTGGCCATGTGGTTATTGTGGGCGCTCAGGTCGGGGAACTCGTCCTCGGCCGGGAAGCGCAGCTTCAGCGTGTTGTGGGTGTTGGAGAAGGGCATGGCGGCGGCAGCGGCGGACTGCGGGGAGACGCGGGTCAGCTAGCACCGCGCGCCCCGGCCGCTGGGCCCTGCAAACCACTCCCGGCGCCGCGGCCCAAAGCCCCGGAGCCCCCCAGACGCTGCCAAGGTCAGCGGGTCCACAGCGCGCGCGGAAGGCGCCTGCAATCGCCAGGGACCCTGGCGGGACCCCCCGCGCTCTCCAGGCGGCGCCGCGGCCCCCGGGGCCCCTCCGCACGCGACGCCACCGTCCCAGCCGTCCCTCGGGCCCCTCACCAGGCTGGCGGGCGGGCTGGGGGCTCGGTCTGCAGCTCCGGGCGCGGCGCTGGCGAACAGCGGCGGCTCCGCGCTCCCGAGGCTCTTAAGGGGCGCGATGCGGGCCGCCCATTGGCCGCTATTTATAGCCCATTCATTCCATTGGCCCGAGCAGCGGGGAGGTGCCGGGGCTTTGTCCGTCGCCTGCAGCCCCCGACACCCCGGACAGCCCCCCTCTGCTATGCCCTCGCCGGGACCCCGCGCTACCCGGCCACCCCGCCGGCTCCCGCCTGGGATCCCCGGCGCGGGACCCCGGTTCTTGGACATCTTGGGCCTCTCCCCCTCGCGCACTCACTGTATCGGCCGGGGAAACTGAGGCCCGAGAACCACCGGGCGCTGGAGGACGCTGGGGTCCTTGCCCACCCCACTCCCGCCTTTTCTCATCCCCGCCAGTCCCCGAGGTTGGCGGCGAGGGGCCGAGCGAAAGCGTCCGCGGCTTCCGCAGCCAGTGCTGCCCCCGGCCCGGCCCGGCCCAGCGGCCCGGAGCCGCCGACCTTCCTCAAGGTGCCTGCGGGCGTCTCCCGGGCGATCGGGTGCAGCGCTAGGCGCGGGAGGGGCGAGCTGGCTGCGGCCCAACCCCGCGGCGCCGCGGGGGCCGACCTTGGGCGAGTCCATGGGCTCCATCGAACCGGAGGAGACCCAGGGGCCCACTTCCTCCTAGGAGAGGGCACTCGCCCCGGGGCCTCCGCACCGGGCACGGCTTCCCAGCACCCCACCCGCAAGGCGGCCCAGAGGCGCTGGGCTAAGGTGGGGAGGAAGCCGGCCGCGGGAGGCTGAGGAAGCCTCACTAAGTCGGAATCCCGGAAATAAAACCACCCACCCAGGCTGGGGAAATCCAGGAGACACACCAACCCCAGGTGGGGGCCAGTTCCACTTCCTGCCCCCGGCATCCTTTTTGGAGAGTAACTTGGCAGTGTCCGTGAAAACAAAACATGTTCGAACTCTGTGACCCAGCCAGCCCACTTCTAGGAACGCAGCCACCCCGAGGACAGCCTCCGGGCTCTCCGCAAGCGGACCAGGTGACGCGGGAGTGGGAGTGAAATCGGAGAAGAGACCGGGTAGACCCTGGTGCCACCCTCGGGGCTGGCCAGGGTCTCGGGCATCTGCCTGGGAGGAGTATCAGGCGTCAGGCGAGCGGAGGCATCCTGTCCCTCCTTCACGGCGTAGGAGCCCGTATCTGCCTGCTTTTACAACCCCTCCTCCACACACAGCTGTGCCTGAGCACCTGAGGGGTGCCAGGTGCTGGGGACCACGTGGGCAGCACCGGGAGAAAGGGCACAGCCCTGCTGCTGGAGGGCGACCGTGAGTCCGCGTCGGGGTGCACTGGGGTGCCCGGGCAGCCCCCCGGCCAGCGCAGCAGCCCAGGCTTGAGGGGCACTGAGGAGGAGTCCCTGAAGGGAGGGCCCTGGAGCCGCGGCAGGTGCACAGGTGCAGAGCACAGGAGAGCGGGTCGGCCTCTGGCAGAGTGAGCCCTGGAGGGTGTGGTGTCCCCGGCCCAGGTCCCGGCCCTCGGCCGCTGCCGAGGGAATTCCTGCCTCCCCCCTCCCCCACCTTGGTATTCTGCGCTTCTTAGAGCCATAAAACCCAAGTAAAGAGACAAACGGCCAGACAGCAGGTGTTCCTTAAGCCAGCATTCCTGCTTTCCCAATCTGAGGAATGTCTGCAGCTGCTCGCCCCCACCCCACTCCACCCCACCCCACCCCCAGAGCCCCGAAATGCTCGTTTCTCTTCCTATCACACAGTCCCCCAGACCCCCTGCGGCGGGCAGGGGTCACTCGGGGCTTCCTCTGTTCCAGCTCTTCCGCCCCTCCAAGGTCACCTGCCTGCCCCACCCCAGTGAGGCCCTGACCCGTCCACGCCCCCTCCGTCCACGCCCCCTCCCCTCTCCCTCACAGGCAAGGTCAGGATTGCAGAGGTGAGGGCCAGAGGGCAGAGCTGTGGCGAGAGGCACTGGCTCCAGCCTGGGGCTCGGCGTCCTCTTACTCGCCCCCCACCCCCGGCGCCCCGAGGGGTGTTTTTTTTCCTGTTTTGCAGATAATCAGAAGATTGCTAGTTGGGCAACAGAAGAGCTCGGTCAGAGGTCCAGCACACCTCGCGGGTCCTGGCGTGTCTGTCCCCAGTGCCCCCCTGACCCGGGAGTGCCCTTGGGAACAGACCGAGGGTGTGAAGGGGGCAGCGGCAGCGGCGGTCTTCAGACCCGAATCCGGCGGAGCCGGCTCAGGGGTCCTGGCGGCCCCCTCCAGGGGGGAGCAGGGGCCTGGAGCTGACCGGCCACCCTGCCCCTCCTCTGCAGACCGCTCTGCCTCCCCCAGGGCGCACAGGAGCCAGTCTGGCAGTGTCCAGGCAGGAAGCTGGGCTGTCGCTGGGCAGCGGAGGGGCCCTGGTGCCTCAGCCTCAGAAACCACAGGCGGTTACACATTAGCCAAGACCGGTTTATTCAGAGGAAGGAGCTGAGCTGAGCCGGGCAGACAGGGCGGGTGGAGCCGAGGGGAGGCGGGTGGGCAGGGGGTGGGCCTTGTTTCCCATCCCAGGGCTCCCTGCCCCTGAGCTCCGAGGAACCAGAGAAGCCGGCTGGGGTCCCAGGCACAGGGCTGTGGCAGGCAGCTGGGGGGGATGTGGGCGGAGCAGCCCTCCCAGCGGTGGGCTTAGCTGCCCCTTTCCTGCACACGTCCGGACCTCTTACCCGGGGCCTCCCTCCTGCCTGGCCTCGTCGGTTTGCCAGCTTTAAGGCCCAGTGTGACCACACGGACTGCCTGGACTTAGGCGAGCTCCTTATCCTGATCCCCAGGGGACAAGCTCCACCCTGGGAAGGGGCCCAGGGCGGGCCCCCAGCAGAACCCTGGGGGAGGCGGCCTCTGCTCGCCCACCCAGGCCCGGTGGAGAAGCGGGCGCGGGAGGAGCCGGGCAGGCGGCAACGCGCAGAAGCGGGAAGCTGGGCGAGGGAAACCGCAGCTGAGTCAGGAGCCCTAATTCAGGCTCGGGGCAGGCGCCGGCGTCGCCACACAGCGGCCCAGAGGCTGGGCAAGACGACTCCCGGGGCGGGAAGTCCACTTCCTCCGGGGCGCAAACAGGGGGTGACTCAGGGGCGGGCGCATCGCGGAGGGGGGAACAGGGGTGGGGGCCGCGGACGGGGCTGGAGGCGGCGTCCCGGGCGCCCCAAGGCTGGCAGAGCTCGGGCCTGGCTCTGCCGCGGCCTGGACATCCCACTACCGGACTGCAGTAGCCTGAGGCCTGGGTCGCTTCCAGCCGGGGCGGGCGGGCTTCTCCCCGGTTCTGCCCCGCCCAGGCCTCACCCGGCCGGGGGCCGAAGCCGTCCCATCCCGTCCTCCGACATCCGCCAGGGGCCCAGCAGGGCCGCCCCCGGCGGCGCACGGTGCAGGGACCCAGTGTCCCCCGCGATGGGGGGCGGGCAGCGGCCGCCCACCGGCCCTAACTCGCGCATGAGGGAAATCGGGGCGGGCCCATCCCAGCTGGGAACGGGGGGCTTTTATTTTTGTCCTGGCTGGGGGCCCCTCCACCACGAGCGGCACCCACAGACCCGTCGGCCCCCCGCGTCCTCTGGGAGCCACGCCAAGGGCGGCCCGGCCGCTCCCAGGAGCCCGCGCGGGGGGGCGGGGCATCGTGACGTCATCCCCGCGCGTCCGGAGCCGGAAGCGCCGGAGCTGCCGCCGAGGTCGCGCGGCCACGTGTGGAGGCGCGGGGAGCAGGAGCGTCCCGGGTGAGACTGCGGGACCCCCGACGCCAGCGCGGGGGGGAGGGGCGCGCGGGCCGGTCGCGGCGCCCCGGGCCTTCCGAGGCCGGCCCTGGGGCGCACCTCCGCCTCCCGTGGATCGCCCCTCGGCGGCCGGGCCTGGTTCCCTTCCCGCCTTGGGTTTTTCTGCCCTCTGCGCCCCCAGCCCCATGCCGCGGACGCTGACGCCTCGCACGTCCCCCTCCGCCTCCTCTGGGGGAGGCTGAAGGAGGCGCTCCCGGGGTTCAGCCTGGCTCGGAGGCACCCCACAGGCCGTTGGCTGCACCCGGCTAGCGACGCCTCCCGAAGGCCTCTGCCCGCCGCAGACCCGGGGCGTGGAGCCAGGCCTGGGCGAGGGTTCCTGGGCCCAGCCTCCCCCGCTCCGTCCCTGGGTTGAGCTCAAAGGCCCTGTCTCAGGCTCCAGACCAAGAAGCACTTCCGATGTCCGAGCCCGGCGCTGTCCAGCTGCCCTGTCCCGCAGAGCCTGGGCCCGAGCCCGCCAGCCCTCGTGCCCGAGCCCCAGGCCCCTGACCTCGTGCCCACACCTCCCCAGGTCTCTGGCACGTGCCCGACAGTAACACCATGAGCTTCGTGGCTTATGAGGAGCTGATCAAGGAGGGTGACACGGCCATCCTGTCCCTGGGCCACGGCGCCATGGTGGCCGTGCGTGTACAGCGAGGGGCTCAGACCCAGACCCGGCACGGCGTCCTGCGGCACTCGGTCGACCTCATCGGCCGCCCCTTCGGCTCCAAGGTGACCTGCGGCCGGGGGGGCTGGGTGTACGTGCTGCACCCCACGCCCGAGCTGTGGACGCTGAACCTGCCGCACCGCACACAGATCCTGTACTCCACGGACATCGCCCTGCTCACCATGATGCTGGAGCTGCGGCCCGGCTCCGTGGTCTGCGAGTCCGGTGAGCGCCGCGGCTGCTCCGAGCTCAGGCCCTCCCCGCGGCCCGGGGCGGCTCTAGATCTCTCTCTGCAGGATGGGGGTCGACGGCAGGAAACCCGCTGGGAGCTGGGCTGTCACCTGAGTGGGAGGCGGGAGGTGAGGGGGACGGACCAGTGATGACCCCTGGGGGAGATGGTGCCTGGATGAGGCGGCCAGGGGTGCGTGGCGCTGACCAAGGTGCTGACACAGGCCCCGTCCCTGTGCTGTGGGGTGGGGGAGAGGAGCTCTCCTGGAGAGAGCCAGGGCTACCCCAGAGGCTCACTGTGGTGGGGCCGGCCCTGTGCTCGTCCGTCACTGGGCCTTCACCGGCCTCGGGACGTAGTGCCCATGTTGCTGGGCCAGGGCCCAGGGGTGGATGGAGGTGCCTGGGAGTCAGCAGTCCCCGTGAAGCGAGTAGACTGGCGGGAACAGCCTGGTCCCTCATGCAGCTGGACGCCGGGTGGCCTGTTCCCCGTCGGCTGGGGAGCTGGGACCCAGCTCAGGGAACGCTCTGAGCACCACTGCTGCTGGCTTTGTGAGGGCCTCAGGCCACCCTGACCCCTCCGAGGGGTTCTGGGCAGCAGTGGTGTGCAGAGCAGGGCTAAGAGTCAGCACCATCAGTGCTGTTCCCCCCTCCCAGGCCCTTGCCCCACTGCTCCTGGGCCCCTGCGATGTGCCAGGTTCCCCTCACGGAGCGGGGCAGGAGCCCTGGCCCGGTGCTGTGGCTCAGGAAGTCGAGCAGAGGGAGTGGGCCTGGCTGACCACCTCAGCACTAGTGATTGCCATGAAACCTCTAAGCGCTGTCTGAGGGCGACTCGGGGTGGGGGGGTCCCTCCAGCCATGGCAGCCGGGAAGGTCTCTGAGGAGTGGACATTGAATTGAAAATGACGAGCGTGCCGAGAGCCGGGAGAGAGCCCTGTACCAGGAGCAGCCGTGCAGAGGCCCTGTGGTTGGAGCCCGTTGCGAGTGTGGAAAAGGGAGTGAAACTGGGGAGGAAGTGTGCACCTCAGGGTCGATAGCAGGCCGTTCGTCCCATAGTGAGAAGCAGAGTGTGCCTGGCCGTGCAGATGTGGCCTTGTCTGAGTGAGCTGGAGAGGATTTGCTGGCTGTGTGTTTTTGTAAACATATATTTATTTATTTGAAAGAGTTAGAGAAAGAGAGAGACAGAGAAAAGATCTTCCTTCCATTGGCTCATTCCCCAAATACCTACCATGGCTGGGACTGGGCCAGGCAGGAGCCAGAAGCCTCCTCCGGGTCTCCCACGCGGGCGCAAGGGCCCAAGCACTTGGCCGTCTTCTCCTTTTCCAGGCCAGAGCAGGAAGTGGAGCAGCCCGGACTTGAACCTGTGCTCATGTGGGGTGTCAGCGCTGAACAACCAGGGCCCCTCCTGATGGCCAGCTTTAGACAGTATTAAAGGCAGCCTTTGTGGAGAGCCAGGAGGGAGGGGCGGGGATGTGGGAAGAGGGTTGGCTCCCAGAGATTCAGGGAGAGCGGTGAGTTATTGGTGAATTGGATCGGGGAGAGGGGAGCCAAGGGCACCCCCGCGGCACCGGCCTCGGCAGGGGTGGACATGGGCTGGGTCAGTCCAGCTCTGCACTTGCTGACCCTGAGCACCGCTGGTGTTAAGGGAGGCAGCATGTGTGAGCAGGCGCTGCAGCAGGAGTCTGGCAGGACCGCCCAGCGCCGGGAGGGCTCGTCGTGGAAGCGGCCCCGAGGCTGATGGGCGGCTGTCGGGGAGCACTCAGGATAGCCCTGCGGGACGTGGGGCGGGTGCAGTGAGTGGGAGGGAGAGCGGTGGCTGCCGGGCCACGTGGCTGAGGCTGAGCAAGGTGGGAGGAAGGAGGGGTGAGGTGGGCAGCTGCTGACGGGAGTGGGGTATCTGCTGTGTGGAGGGATGAGAGGCCAGGGCTTATCAGCTCTGCCCAGACTTCCCACAAGGCCAGCCCGTCAGGTCTCAGCTCCACTGTGCCCGCGCAGTAGGTGGAGCTGCCACTGTCCTGGCTCTTGTCCACGCCCATCAGTCCCGGCTGGCCTCCCCACTAGCACGGGGCCGGTTTGAGCACCCCAAGCCCAGTGGGTGGCCGGACGGACAGCCTCTGGATTGGACCTGTTTCATTGCAAGCCTGGGTTGGCCTCAGGGGCCTCTTCAGGTCTGCAGGTGAGAATGGGTTTGTTTGCTGGGAGGCAGTCCCCGACGCCTGGCCTGCCCCATCCCACCAGGCACTGGCAGCGGTTCTGTGTCCCACGCCATCATCCGCACCGTGGCGCCCACCGGCCACCTGCACACCGTAGAGTTCCACCAGCAGCGAGCGGAGAAGGCCCGCCAGGAGTTCCAGGAGCACCGCGTGGGCCGCTGGGTGACTGTGCACACCCAGGACGTGTGCCGCAGCGGCTTCGGTGTGAGCCATGTGGCGGATGCCGTCTTCCTGGACATCCCGTCGCCCTGGGAGGCCGTGGGCCACGCCTGGGACGCCCTCAAGGTCGAAGGTGTGTCCGTGGCTCGGGAGGGGTGCACGGCTCGGGAGGGGTGCACGGGGCTGAGCTCCCAGGCCTCGTCCTGGCTCGGAGGCACGTGGAGCCGGGAGAGTTCTGAGGACCCCCAGGCCACACAAACAGCAGAGGCCGGGCTCCGGCCCTTCTCGGCCAAGGTGGGGAGGGGTCAGGCTGGCTGGAGGAGTCCTCTCCCTGCTCGCCCTCTCCTTGGCTGTGCCCCCTGCCCACGTGAGATGGGAGCCATCTGGGGGCCAGGGTGGAGGTTGCAGGGGTAGCCCCTGCTCCCAACCATTTCCTGCCAATCCCTTCCCCCACCCCCGGCCCCGCTGCTGCAGCGCCTGGCAGGCCGGCCCCTTTTAGGGAAGATGCTGCAGGCGGAGGCGGAGCGGCCTGGGAAGGTCGGCCCTGAGCCAGGGAGGCGGGCGGCGGGGCCCAGGGTTTTTCCCTTTTCTGGAGAAGGAGCTGGCGCAGGCCACCAGGGCCCCTCCCCCTCCCAGCTGTAGCTGCCTTCAGGAGGGCCTGGGAGGACGGTGGGTGGGAGCTCAGGCCAGCTCAGATAGCAAGTGGGGGCCCCTGCTTGCTGGCTCAGGCTTGGCCCTGGACCGCGTGTCCCTGGTCTCTGCTGAGATGGCCTGGGGCCAGGAGTGGGGGGTGCAGCCACTGGGCCCCCACACGGACATGCCTTTCCGCTTTGCCCACGCTGCTCGGACCTTGGTCCAGGCCGCTGGGGACGCTGAGCTGGGGCCTCATTCTGTCTTTGCTGTTGCTGTGGCGCCTCCCTCAGGCTTTTGGCTGTCTGCTTCCTGGCCTGGGCGCCCCTCCTAGGCCTTGCCTGGACTTGGCGTTCTGGGCCAGAGGCCCCAGCCTCTTCGTGGACTGGGTGTTCTGAGGCAGCTCGCTTGTCTGGGGGCGGGCCCTGCCCTTTGGCCCTGGTGCTGAGCTGCAGGTACCTCTTCCCACCTCAGACCGCCCAGGGGCCCCTGGTCTGCCACGGCTGAAGGCGGCAGACCTCGGGGTGTGAGGACCTGCCACGCTGTAAGCTGTACCAGGATTGGACTCTGATGCGCTGCAGGCAGGCCTGGGGAAGCAGGTGGGCTTCCCCAGTGGGAGGCAGCAGGGAGGGGCTGTCAAGCTCTGTTCAGAGTGGGCACCGCCTGTTCCCAGGAGCAAGCGACAGCCCCTCATTTCCTGTGACAGCAGCAGCCCCCGCAGCCCCGTGCAGGCGGAGCTGTGAGGATGGCTGTGCTGGCACAGCCCGCCTTGGCCCGGCCCTGGCTGCCTGCTGGCTGGAGACAGTGGGCACAGGACAGCTGGGGGTGCTGTCTGGAGGGCTTGGCCTGGGCAGGTGAGCTGCAGCCCCAGGAGGGCTCCTGCCCCAGGGCAGGCCAGTTGGTGACGGTGAGGTCTCCACAGGGCCCTTGAGTCCTGGGGTTCCAGCTGTCTGTGGCCCAAGGCTTGGCATCTGTTGGGACTGTCTTAGGGTGAGGTCAGGTCCCAGGAAGGGCTTCTGGGGGTTCTGCTGGCCCCTGCCCTCTGACCCCATCTCCTGCTCCTCACAGGTGGGCGCTTCTGCTCCTTCTCGCCGTGCATCGAGCAGGTGCAGCGCACGTGCCAGGCCCTGGCAGCCCGCGGCTTCACGGAGCTGAGCACCCTGGAGGTGCTACCGCAGCTCTACAACGTGCGCACAGTCAGCCTGCCCCTGCCGGACCTGGGGGCCAGCATCGGGCCCCCCGCCGGCTCTGACGCCAGCCCCTTCCGCAGCGGCACGCCCATGAAGGAGGCCGTGGGCCACACCGGCTACCTGACCTTTGCCACCAAGACCCCAGGCTAGTGGGCTGTGATGGGAGCCCCCAGGAGCTGGGAGCACCACAGGCCTGGCTAGGAGGCCAGCGTCTTCCTTGTATGGTCAGCAGAGCCTGTCTGGCCTGTTTTGGAAACAGATGGCAGGGCGGGGCTTATGGCCTCCTGGGTGGCCAAAGGGGGAGGGTACGGAGGGGTGGCCTTGCTGGAGGCCTATGGGACTTTCTGGTTCTTAACAGGGGAGACCTCTGCCCACGTCACTGTCCAGCTCAGGCCCTGTCCCTACTGCTGTGTTGCCAACATGAAGTCTGTCACAGGCTCTCCCGGTATTGAAGCCAGGGGCTCTAGGTTGAGGGTGACGGGTCTGACCCAAGCGGCAGCGGGCAGAGGAGGCAGAGGAGGCCTCGGCCTGGCCCTGAGGCTGGTGCTGGCCTCCAGGTCTTGGCCGTGTTCACCCTGTGCCTGTTGCAGGGCCGTGGCTGCTGGCTGTCCTTGAGCTTAGCCAAAAGCTGAGGGTGGAGCTGACCCCAAGACCCATGCCCTAGCTCCTCTACCCTCGCGCAGTGCTGAGGAGGACCAGGGGAGGTGACTCTGCCATGTGTGTCCCCTATGGGTGCCAGTTCGAGTCCCAGCTGTCCCACTTCTGATCCCAAGGGCAGGGCAGCCGCTTCCCACCAACTCTGGGGACCTGCCTCCTGCTGCCCTGGCCCAGCCATGGCTCCCACCCAGAGGACAGCGTTGCCTAGGGTGCCCTGGTGGGCTCTCTGTTGAAGCCAGGGTTCACAATCCTAGACTTCCTCAGGTACCCCTGCCTCTCATGAGACCCTGGGGGTCATGGGGAGCCCCTGTAAGGGACAGTGGTGTGAAGTGGGGCAGAGGACCGTAGAGGATGGGCGCCCAGGGCCTGGTGTGCTGCCAGTGTGGCCACCCTGTCGCTAATGCGTGAAGGCCCAGGTGCCAGCCTCAGCTTCCCCAGCGTCTGGATGCCAGCCCAGGGCACTGTGCTGCTAAGAGGCCAACCCTCGTGTGCCCGACAGGGCGCTGAACGTGCCGCCCTTACGTGTGCCCTGGCTCCTGCTTTTCCCTTCCCCATCCCAGGGTAGGCACCACGGAGGCTTTCAACTCCAGGACAATGGCCTGACTCAGTGGACAAGGGGGCGAGTATGTGGCCACCCCCATCCGACTGCAGAAAGGGCCCCTTGTCCCAGAGGTTGGGAGGAGTGTGTGTGTCCCTGTGTGTGTCAGCACCAGGCCCTCCCTCTAGAGCCCTTGGCCTTACACCTCACTGTGTACACACCCCCTCCTAAACCCTGGAGGGTCCGCCCTCTTGATTCCTGGGGAGTCCCTGGAGCTGCAAGGCCTGTCCACCCAGCTTCCTGGGGGACAGCTGCTGTTGGAGCCCCGCCCCACCTCAGGTAGCCCTCCAGCTCATCCCCCAAACATGAGCTAGGCTGGCCGGGGCAGCAGCAGCTCCTGTGCTCCTCGAGGCCCTGTTGATGTGCCTTGCTCAGCACTGCTTTCCCAGCCTGGCCCACCCTCCAGCAGGGGTGTCCCACACAGGTCACCTCCCGGTGCTGCTGCAGCTTGGGAGCCCCCCGCCCCGCCCCCAAACGCAGCAGAGGAACTGAAGTCACGCGGTACCCAGTTCTGCAGACGGGCCCTGACTCCCAGAGGAGCAGGCTGGGCTTGCAGTGAGCCAGCGGTCAGCAGGTCCCTGCTCACCTCTGAGTCAGTAGCACGGGGTTCCTCGCACGGCAGGGATCCATGGGAACCTGCCCAGCCCTCACCCAGCCCTCACCTCGGCCTCCCCAGGCTGGCTGAAGCACATCTCCCTGCGGGCCTGGGCCCCACCGCCTCGCTCCCCTGCTCTGGTCCAGACCAGGACCCACCCTGGAAGGCTGGGCCAGGCTGGGCCTCAGGGCAGGGTCTTTGCACCGGGGCGGGGGGGTGAGGGACACTGGGATCCAGGGGCTTGGCCTCTGTCCAGTGGGATGACGGGGATGCTGTAGACTGCCCATGTCCCTTGTGTCTCTTTCAGGGCCACGCTGTCATCTCCCAGTCTTTGGCCTGCATGCTGGAGGTCAGGGCCTCCCCTGCCCCACCAGGGCCCACTGTGCAGCTGGGGGAGCTGCCTGTCTGCCTTTAACACTGCATCAAGTGCCCTTGTTTCCCTGTGTGACCCCCACCCCCTGTGGCTACAGAGCCAAAGGGCAGTCATGGAGGACTCCTCAGGAGAGGGGCACCTGGGGGGCAGGTGTTCAGGCAGCCACTGCCAGTCCCCGGGCTGGAGCAGCTGCCCCTTGCAAGGGTCTGAGCGTGGTGCCCAGCAGGCCTGGTGCCCCACTCTGCCTGTGGAACCTGAGGTGCTCCTGCCCCTGCCAGGGAGGGCCTTTCTCCAAGTCTTGGCTCCTGATGCCTCTTGGGCAGTTGGATGATTTATCAGGATAATGTGGAGGGGAGATCAGAAAATCCAGGCTATCATCTAGAGGTGTGATAGGCAGGAAGCTGCCTGGGCTGGGTGTGGCCAGGTGGCTCTCACTTGACCTCCGTGGGTTGCAAGGTGGGCACCATCCACGTGCTGACGGCCACCTCCGCCGAGCATGGGCATGGTCTGCCACGAGCCGTGGTGCTCCCTGGTCAAGGCCCTGTGGCTGGAGCAGGGGCCGTGCGCTGGGAAAGGGAGCTGCCCTCTGCATGCTCCTGGTTGCTTCCTGAGACGGAGAGCGGCAGAGATGTTCCCGTGGGCTCCCTGCGCCCAGACCTGTGTGCTGTGCCAGGGGCCCGCACGGCCCAGCCCAGGCGGGACGAGGGCGTTTCAAAGTCAGGCTGCTTCCGAGGCAGCAGCGTTGGCGGAGGGAATAGCTCGGCTCCCACCAGGCTGAGAATAGCTCCGAATTGGGTCACGCTCACCCGCAGCTCCGGTCACAGCCTGCAGCCTTGGTCAATAATCAGCTTTCTCCCCGACATCTGTCCCTTCAGAGGGGGCAGGTGGTGCGGGCACATTGTTAGAAGAAGCAAAGCAGAGGGCATGGAGTGAGGGGAATCTATTTTGGAAGGAGAGGCCCCCTCCCCCACCCTGTCCCCCTCCACTCTGCTGTTAGCCCCCAACTCCCTCCATGCCCATGCCCACAGGTGCTGCGCCAGGTGAGGATGCTGGGTTGGGTCAGCTGAGAGGGTAGCCGCACCCTTGCCATCTTGGGACAGTGGGGAGGGGCTACCCTACTCCGAGGATTCTGGGAGGATTCTGGGACTCGTTCCTCCAGCCCTGGGGCTCCCACTGCCAGACCCTTACACCCCACATCCCCTAGCCACGTTTCTCCAAGGCCCCTGGCTGTGCATGCCGCCCCTCCCACCCCCCCGCTGGCCACCATTTCAGTTCAAGGAATGACAACTTCCTTAGGGACGCTGCAGTGTTGTGCAAGGATGGGGGCTGGGATTTGCCTGAGAATAATCCCAGGCGGGGGAGCGGGGTACGGGATTCTTTGTGCAATCTCTGGTATTGCATTTCTGTGACATTTTTCATAATCAAAAAAAATTTTTTAAGGGAAGATGTTGGATCTTGGCCTGCTCTTCCTGCTTTAAGGAGTGTAGTTCCTCTCTTCAATAAAGGGGGCTGGGGAGCTTTTGGGGGGGCGCCTAGCACAGGGGTTCAAACACCTGCAGCCCATGTCCGAGTGCTGGGGTCTGAGTCCCGGCTCTGCTTCCAGTTGGGGCTTCCTGCTGATGTGTTCCCGGGAGGCAGCAGGTGATAGCTCAAGTGGTTGGGTCCCTGCCACCCACTTGGGAAACCTGGATAAAGTTCCAGGCTCCTGGCTTCAGCCTGAGAACTTGGGAAGTGACTCAGCCGATGGAAGTCCCTGTCTGCCTTCCAGGTGAATGGAGGACAGATGCGCAGGAAGGAGTCGGGAGTCATTGCCCCCAGCCGTGCCCTTCCAGGGCTCCAAGGGTCCCTTCCAGGGGACTGTGTTGTCCCCGCCGGTTCTCACGCTCGGGGCTGGTAGGAGACCAGGTCGCCTGGTCCCTGGCAGTGCGCTCAAGGCTGCACCTCCTGGTGTGGAGCAGCTGGCTGGGAGTGAGTGCAGGGTGGGTGTGCTCAGGACCACCTACTTCTGTCCCCACAGCCCCAGGAGGCCTTCCCTCCCCCCAGGCCTCTCCCCACTGACCCAGCTCCTGACCGGGGCATGCACCTGTGTGGTCACTCCCAGCCCTTTCCAGCTCTGTCCTTCAGGGCTGCCGGCTGCTTCCTGCACATCACTTGCTCGTGCCCAGAGGAGAGGTGGGGGCGCGGCAGTTCTGACCATTGTGTGACCTCAAGGGCGTCCTGGCCGTTTGTGCCTGCAGGCATCACCCAGGGGACAGGGCAACCTGCACTGGGCACGAGATCAGCATCTCGGCTTCCTCCGGCAGGCCCAGGAACGCGGGCAGCCGTGGGTGGACGGTGGGGGCTGCAGAGGCTCATTGTGGAGCTCCAGGCAACAGGGAAGGAGACGTTTCTTGGCGGGAATGGGGGTGTCCCAGGCAGCCCTTGTCTCCTGCTGTGCTGAGTGCCCCCGCCCCGGGAGGTCTGGGCACAGTGGCTGTGTGGCACCCTCCTGGGGCCTGGAGGCTGGCCCGGGTTCCCTGCCCTGCCCCCCTCGTCTGCTGGCACCCTCCTGGCTTGTCGCAGGGCCCTGGCTGCCCCTCAGGGCCAGGGCTTGGAGTTTCGGTGGGACCCACTACCTGCCTGTGGACTCGCTCGGCACTCCCGTCACCCTGAGGCCGTGCCCCGTGTCCGACTGGCCTCTGCTTGTCAGAGAGGAAGGGTTGGTTTTGCTCCCTCAGGCTCCACTTCCTCCTTCCGTGGAGAGACTGCTAAGGAACTCGGTCAGGGCCAGCAGCGGGTGGCCCAGGCCCCTTGCCATCCAGGGCCTGCTGCCACGTGGCTGCCCCTCACCCCGCCGTGCTCCTCGCACATCTTCCACGCTTGCTGAAGCCTCCACCAGGGCCACACTCCGGCTTCCCACTCCTGTAGCCCTGCGGGCCAGGCCCGGGACCCCCAGAGCTGCTGGCCTTCCCCACGCCAGATGGGGGCTCCAGGGCTCCAGCCACACTGCACATCCGTGTGCCTGGCACGCCACAAGTATTCAGGGAGTGCGCAGCCCAGCGTGACCACCTGTCTCTGGTCCTCACTGGCCCCACCGGACAGCCCTGGCCTCTGCCCATGGAGTGTGCAGTGCTGATGGGAGGAGGCAGCTCACCCTCCTGGCCCAGGCTTTGCCCTCTCCCCGCTATAGCCCCCAGCTCCTGTGGGATGGGGCACCCTCGGCAGTGTCCAGACTGCTTGTGGGGAGGCGTCCAGGAGCCAGCCCGCGTGCGCATGCAGGGTGCAGGGAGGTCCAGCAGTGACCCACACGTCTTGTCGCTGCCCCTGGAGCCCCTCCTGGACAGGGGATGAGCTGCCTGGCAGCTTCCTAGCCTCTTAGACCCCTGACGCCTTCCTGTGCCCCAGACACTTGCTCCTCTGCCTGAGACAAGACAGACAGCTGAACACGGACCCCTCCCCAGGCCCAGCAGGTGCAGTCCCCATCAAAAACAGTGGGGGGGGGGATCCTCCCCTTCCCTCCCCCACCCAGTCCTCTTCCCTGCCAAGGCTGAGCTGGGCCCCTGGGGTCTCTCTTAGGCCAGGAGCTGGAGACAAAGAGGCAGCTGCCGACGGAGTGAGGAGGGGGCCACGGCCTTTGTGTGCACCCGGCCCCTTCTGGTGACCTCACCGCCGGCCAGAGAAGGGCCCTTTCTTCCTAAGATCGGCCGTTGGGAGTCCGTCTGGGGACAAAGCCGTGACCAGGCAGGGGACCAGCGAGCGGCTGGCTCCCCTCACAGCATAAATTAGGGGGGGGCAGGTGGAGGAGGGGAGGGTGGCTGCAGCTGGTATCTGGGAGGGGGCACACACTTGGGCATGCAGCCCCCCCTCAGCTGACACATGGGGTGTATGGGCTGCCCCCTCCCAGCCTCACTCATTCATTCATTCCCCCGTGTTCCTTCATTCATTCCACAGATGGTGCTGGGCACCGGCCCAGGCAGCCTTGTCTGGCAGTGCTAGGCCGGGGCTCCCAGACTGGAGGGGGAGTTGGGACGGACGGGTCGCGGCTGTGAGGGATCCTGTTGCCCAGTCTGAGGTCACACAGCAGCAGGAGGGGTCAGAAAGGCAGCTGGCTCTGCGTGTGTGTGTCTGGTGACACCCACGAGTGACCACGAAGGGCTTTCTGTCCCTGGCCATGCTCCACAAAGCATCCCCGCAGCCCTGCTGGCCTCCAGCTGTGTCTCGTCCCCTGGCAGGACACCCTTGCTGGAGACTGCAGGGGCAGGGCTGGTCTAGGGCAGTGTGGATGGCACAGAGGCAGGTGGCTGTGTCATCCGGAGTTCTGGGCAAAGACTGGCAGCCCGGGCTCCCGAGCCGGGCTCCCCAGCCTCCCTGGACACTTGCCTCATCCCTGCAGCCCCGAGCACGCCAGGGCCAGCCCAGGCGGGCTTCCTGCAGGCAGAGGCCGTGAGCTTCGGGCTGGGCAGGACTCCAGGCCTTGGATGTTGCCCCACAGCCCTGGGCCATGTCCCGACTGTGCCGAGGACAGGCCAGCCTGGTGTCCAGGGTGTGAGGCCCTTCCTGTGAGGCATGTGGCTTCTGGCCTGCCCACTAGGCCGAGAGCCCCAGGCCTGAGGACTCGGACGCTGGCTGCCCGGGAGCACCGAGAGCTCTGAGCTGGCGGGAACTGGGACCCCTCCACGCCCTTCGCAACCACTAGTGTCAGACCTCCTGCACCCCAGGCCCCAGCATGGATTAGGAAGTGCGCCCCCACAGGCCAGGGTGAGGCTGCCAGGGCCCCAGTCCCCTGAGGCCGGGGCGCGTGGCCCCCCCAGGAGCCCCAAAGGCCCCACGCCCCTCCCTAGAGCTGCTGCCGTGGCGTCGTGGGGGCGGGGTGGAAGTAGGCCAGTGCTTTGTGCCGCGTTGCCATGGCGCTGTCCCAGCCTGCACAGGCAGTCTTCCTCTGGGCCTGTTCCCAGCCCCTGCCCAGGCCCAGCCCCCCAGGGGTGCTCCCAGGCCTAGCGCCATTCTCTACCCTGGCCCTCAGCCTTGGGCTGCTGGGGAGGCAGTGTGCCACCCCAGTACACACACTTGGAACCCCACACTGCGCACAGAAGCACAAGGTAGGAGTGCACATGCTCATACATGCAGCACACGTGTGCACCCATACAGGTGTGCACACTGCACACAGGCAGCACACATATTCCTACACACGCATGAGCTTACGTGTGCATGCACAGACCTGCCTACCCCACACATGCATGTGCGCATAATGCACACATACACGTGTGCACACACAACACCCGTAGGCGCTCAGCCAGGCGGTGAGAGCCACAGATCTCTAAGGGCTTTGTTCTTAAGACATCTGCAGGGCAGGGGGACGCAGGCTCTCAAGACCCTCTGGGGCTCTGAGGGGTGCCCAGCCCAGAGCGGGGTCTCAGGGGTCTCAGGGTCTCCCACCTCATCCAGTTCTGAGACCCAGCTCACGCCTGAGCTCGGGGAAGGACAAGTGGCCTATGAGCAGCGGCGTGCGCCTCCCACCCCCCACATCCCTGGGCCTGCTGGGCTTGGGACCTGTCCAGGCATCTGCTGGCACGATGCTGTGTGCCGTGCCTGGAGCTAGACCCGTCACCTCATTCTGTCTGCACAGCCCCCACGCTGAGGGGTGTCAGCCCCATGGACAGGCAGGACGCACGCAGGCAGCAGCAGGAGCAGGAGGCGGCAGTCCCTGGGGACCCCAGCAGAGGGGTGGCGTCTAGCTCCAGGGAGCCCAGGCCCCACTGTCTTCTGATGTCAAAGAGTGGCGTCTGGGTGTCTGGGGAGGGAGGTGGCCCCAAGGTCCCTAATTCCTGCTGGGGACAACAGGTGAGCAGAGGTGTCAGGGCAGGGTGGCTTCCGGGGCGGGGGGCGGGGGGGCAGGGAGAATACCCAGGCCCTCTGAGCACCACAGCTGGGCCCACTGATGCCCTGCCTCCACCTCCCTGTCCGACAGCACAGACCTGCCGAGAGATCCCAGTCCCCGTGAGGCACGCGTGCTGGCCCCTGAGGAGCAGGTGTGTGGCGCAGGACACGCCTCTCCCCGCGGGCGCAGCGTCCTTCGCAGTGCTGGGTTCACAGCCTCGCTGTCCTGGGTGTAGCAGCCCAGGCGAGGGCGCAGGCGGCCCCTGCGCGTGGCCCCCAGGGTGGCTCTGGGCCTGGGCAAGGCAAAGGCGGTGCTGAGCAGTCCCAGAGGGCTTTCTAGGGCAGGGAGCGACGGCGGGGGAGGGGCCTGACCGGCTCCTGCAGCTGCTGTGAAGGCATGGGGGCCGGGGGGCAGGAGCTGAGTCTCACTGCACCCGGCCTCCCGCCAGCCCCAGGGAAGCACAGGGGCCCGCAGGCCTGGACCCCCGTCCCACCCCCGACACGCGCACTGCATGGCCGCTGCCTGGAGCCTCAGCTGCCCTGGCTGCCGCCGTACATCCACTGTGTGGAGTGCGGTGGACTTTTTTTTTTTTTTTTTTTTAATTATTTGTATTTTATTTGA